TTGGTCTGGCCGCCCCTAACTTTCTTCCAACCTATTCCTACACAACAAAACAAAACTCGTCGAGGCATTGGAATTGTATAGAATCATACGAAAAAAATTCAAAAACTAAAATTTCATTAGTTTTTACAACAATTCACATAAAAACAAATTGATTGTGTATTCAATTAGAGTTGCAAAGATTATCATCATATTTTAGAGAATAACTTACAATGCATCTTCAGTGATAGTTTACATTGTATAATTGTGCTCACAGAACTCTTACAATATTGTTACTTACAGGTAATAATAATAATAGTTTATGATTTACTTTCAACTCAGATCACATAGTGAATACGCTATCAAGTGCAATCCAGTGTAATTTAGGAGCATTTTGCTTCAAAGCTTTACATACAGATTTTTTATTATTTGGAAAACAATTATTCAGAATGATAATGTAACCCATTTTGTTTAAACGTTATCATACAGTATTATAATGTAACTGAAGTCAGAAATATATATATCGTAAGACATTGATATCCATACTCATTCGGATATTTATCGATCGATATACAATTCCATTCTGAGTTGAAATCATCAATTTCATAGTGAAACAAAAATAACTGTTCAATATCCCTGTGATTATTTTTTATGAACATTTAGCTAACTCCAGGTTTTCTTTTCAAAGTAATTTTAAGAATAAGTCCGTCAAAATTACAATAAACTTAATTGAGGAAGGAGTACTGATTTTGTTTTTTTCTCTCTTGATTCTTATTGATCGAATTCGTATTTTGTGTACTTATATCATTTGAGCATTTTCTGTTAATGTTCATTTTATTTTGAAAACTCCTTCAATTTCAACCGGCCAATTCAGAATGCGGAGCATGCTAAAACAGTCAATACTGTCTGATTTGTTGTCAGTTTTTGTTTAACTACTAACTAAAGTACAATAAAATCGATGCAGTAACACATAAACACACACTTGATCAATACAAATAATAATTTGAATGTCAAATCATTTTGAAACTAGAAAAACATCTTAGCTCAGAGAAGAATGAAAAGTTAACTTTTCAATCAAAAAATTTATCTACTTAGAAAATCGTATGTTATTTTTCCATCCAAACAGATTTGAAATACATATGATAGTTTTTTCTTTTGAAACCATGAATCAATCGTTGTTAGACCACCACCATTAGAAACCTGGAAGCAATGGACGGCCGTTTCGTCCTGGTATCGGACTAATCAGTGGCAATGCGCATCCACGACTCCTGCTCCCCGCAGGATTCGAACCCAGGATTTTCGGTATTGTGCGCGAACGCCCTAACTAAATTAAATCTAACATTGGTCGATTCATGGTTTCAAAAAAAATGTGTAACTTAACAATCTTTACAACAACCCCGTAATGCAAATTACCTGTGCTGACTAGTGAGTAGCTTCGTGAAGAATCTTCTTCGAGTTCTAGTGGGAAGACGTGACCAGTGAAGTTCAACCTGTTCGGTTGTAGACAGGTGTAACTAACGAAGACTGTGTATGAGTTTACGCAACTCCATGAATTGATCAAGTTAGACATATCATATGTATTTCGATTCTGTTTGGATGGCAATCTTCACAATCCCGTTATACATCTGATACAGAGATGACCTGATTTAGGCATAAATATATAGATTCATAGTTAAAATTCAGTAACAAATATGTCATCGTAACTGATAAATTCAAAAACTAAAAATCTTCAGCTATATTTAATGTTTTTAATGATATATGCGCTTAACAATATAAATAATGAGCAATTCATTCGTCAATAACTACTACAACTGTCTCGACAAATAAATAGTAACTTTTTTTATTTATTGCAATAATACAAAGAAAAATAATAATGATTATTATATTAATTGTTTCAATAATTTGTAAATTTTTAATAATAATCCAAATAATACACTGACATTTATATTATTTTTTTTTAAGTCGGTCAAATATTCCTAGATGATTCACTCACTCTATATGAACACAACGATTCTAGGTTGAGGGAAAAACAAAAAAACAAAGAAAAAACAGTACTTTTATTTTTCTAGACAAATACCATATTATTATTATTATTATTATTTTTAAATGTTTAACTAGATGTACACGAGATACAATTAGTGAATGATCAATCAATTTGAATTACTATTACTATTACATAATTTATTTGAATCCTTGTGTTATAGTTGTTGCTTGTTCGGTTAATTTTTAATTGAAGCGTAAATTGAAGAAGAAGAAGAAGGTTGTACAGTGTAAGCTTTTCATGTTCAGTTTGATGATCTAATGTACGACAGTATCAAAATTTAATGTTGATGCTGATGATGATGAGGAGGAGCATATTATGTGTAATGAGAAAGAGTGTGATAAAATTTTAAAAATTAAGCCGAACAAATTTCATCCAATTTTTTTTGCTTTTGAATTATTTGACAAAAATTAAAATTTCAGTGTTTTTTTTGTATTAGAAAAATGAAAAATGAAGTGAGCAGTAACACAGTAAAAATAACATGTTTTTTAAAATGTTCTAGACTGTGAATATTTTGTTTCCTTGTGAAAAAAGAAATTAGGCTTGTAATGTTGACAAAAATTTATGAAGGAAACATATTTGAAAAAAATTACTATAAGAGATAATATTTGGTTTCATGTTATTATAGTAGATGGATTTAAACAATGCGATGTATGAACTAGATATATTTTCATTCATATTCTATACACATGATATGAGACTCAATTTGAGTTGGATTTGTAATCACTTAAGAATTGTCGACTATCGTACTAGATACAACTGAATTTCCACAAAAATGTACAAAAGCTATCAATATCATTAAGTGACATTAAATAAATAATTTAACACCTTGTTTTTAACGGATACTACAAAAATATTTAGTCATTCGCTCATAATTTTTCTCTAGAAAAGATGTAACTGCATATTTAATAGTGAATTATTTGAGTTAAACTAGATTTGATTTCTAGTTTCTTTTAATTATGAATTCATATATACACATATATTTGGTTAGGTAATATTTTAGATTGAATCTTTAACAACATTGTATTATTCTATATTATATCATTGTCAGTTAGATTCATTTAACTACTTATACTGACTAATAATCTCAGTTAGAATATACAAATTATTTTTTTTCAATCTATAAGTACTATTTATTATATAAGTATATAAGAAAATGATACTATTTTCAGATAGATGCTGATAATACTTTACTTATTATGATAAAAAAAACCCACTAAAATTATAATCGAATAATTTAGTGAATCAATGGCAATAAAACCTCATGAACTTGTCTAGAGAATTATCACTTAGATAGAATTGATCTTGATGTTGAAGCCTACATCAGAAGTTAAACGAATTGCTTATCTCTTCAACTACCTGTTCATTATCCATGAAACGACTAAGAAGATGATGTTCATTAAGTTGTTTAACAGATTATTCATTTATTATCCCCTCTAATCTCTGTTTTCTGGTACTTTATACTTCTCAATGAATTTTTTAGCTTTTTGTTGTTGGTAACTATGCTTGCTTACTTACTTACTTACGCCAGTTACCCCCGATTGAGCATAAGCCGCCATCCAGTTTTCTCCAACCAACTCTGTCCTCGGCTTCCATCTCCAGTTCTGTCCAATGTTTGTTCGTTCCTCTCATATTTTTCTCTATTTCTCGGCGTATTGTGTTACTTGGCCTTCCTCTTTTCCTTTCGCCTTGAGGGTTCCATGTGAAGGCTTGTCTTGTGAGGCAGTTTGGTGCTTTTTTAGCGTGTGCCCTATCCACTTCCACCACTTCTTCCTGATTTCCTCCTCCACTCGAATCTGGTTTGTTCTCTCCCACAGTACGTTGTTGCTGATGGTGTCTGGCCAACGAATACGAAGTATTTTGCGTAGGTGACTGTTAATAAATACTTGTATCTTCTTAATGATGCCTTTCGTAATTCTCCAAGTTTCCGCTCTATACAGTAGAACTGTCTTCACATTTGTATTGAAAATCCTGATTTTGGTTTTGTTTGAAAGTTGTTTGGAGATGCAGATATTTTTCAACTGTAGGAATGCAGCCCTTGCTTTGCCAATCCGCGCCCTCACATCTGCATCGGATCCACCTTTCTCGTGGATGATGTTGCCTAGATATGTAAAGGTGTTGATAACTATGATAAAATACTTTCTAGATTTAAAAAAAAATTGTCATAACTCAAACTATAATGCAGTTTTTAACAACAAGTGAATTTATATATCAACAGATGTTGATAAAAAAAATTCAAGTTTTTAAATATCAATAGCCGGAAAATGGTGTTATACTTGTAAATTAATCAAACAAACTTTATGAGTCAGTGATAAAAGCAATAAACATTATTACACTACTACTGTTATTTTTATTTATTAATAAAACAGCTGTGTGTGCATTTCTAGCAAAAATAATAATATGAACCGCTTTGATTCAAGAAACGATTATCTGAACATTCATTTATTTAGCATTGTTGAATTGAAATGTTTTAGGTTGAAACGTTGAACAAAGAAATTTTTTTGAAACACAAACTCATTAGATAATAGAAATTTTAATTTTTACTAATACATTTAAAAGTCAATAAAAATAAGATAAGTAATAAGATATTACTAGTTACTTTAAGATAATAATAAAAATGTTATTTCTTTGAATACCTATTCAATAATTTGAACATATGATACAATACAGTAGACAAATTTCAGGGAAAGGCGATAGCACAGTAAAGTAAATTAATCATAGTTCAATAGTCTACTGATCAAATCCTCTCATACAACAACTATAGATCCTAGATTCAATTTCGTATGATAGAAATGTGGGCGTATTTTGTTGACAAGTCTTATAACAGGCCAAAAGCAGTTGTCTGATACTCACTGGAGTTCAATGGAGGCCTATAATATAAACTATTGAAATTTACAAAACTCTACAAACCTCATTTACTAATAATAATAAAAGGTTCGTATTTTTTTGTTAAGCAATATGTTTATTTTCTATCTTACTCTAGGTTTGTAATTTGTATGACAATGCTGACTGTTACAATGTTGCTACTGATCTTCATCACCATAAACTACTTCTACTTGTGCAACAGTGTAGAAATAGATCAAGCAGCATATACTTATGTAACGATTATATTGCAAATAATACCACACATACTACTGAAATAAAAAACTCGACTTTCATAGCTGTTTATCTGTTTGTCGATTGCAAACAGTTGTTAAAAGAAAAAGTTAAAGATGAACTCCGGCAATTGTTCAAACTACTTACAGTAAATGGTGATTCTTTCTGTTTACTCAACAATGGAATATTGAGAAAGTCAGAAGGAAACAGTAAGTTATATATATTCTTGTTAAAATATTTTGAAATTATTAATGATTGTGTTGCCTTCATCTATTTTTGTAGTTGTAATTTAAGTCTTTTTCGATTCGACCCTGATCGTGTCAGTTGACGAGCTATGTTTATCAAACGTCTGTTGATCGCCAGTTGATCTTGTTATCGTATTTTCAGAAATGATTCTAGAAATCTAACAGTTGATTTTATTCAAGATTTCTACGTTTTTTTTTTAAAAGAGTATGTGCCCATATTTGTCAGTATACATTAAAATCAGCAGTAAAATATCATGTCATCCAATTAATTTAAATGGTAAATTTCTTTGCTATTGGGAATTAGCTGAATAATCATTGGAAATCGTACAGTACTAAACAAATATACCATACTTTAATCATATGTTCAGCTGCCATCCTCTGAAAGATCGAACTAAGAACATGCAAGAGTATGATTATTTCAGTTTTTTTCATTTTCATAGGTGGATAATTGTCAATTTACTTTCCTCATAAACATTTAATCCTAAATCAATGTCCACTGACTGTACCGTATTTAACTTGATATTAAAACAAGCGAACATATATTCTTTATGAATATTTATCTCAGCGCATTATATTTTCATCAAAGAATAAACAAATCAATTCCCATTTGAAATATATTCCAAATAATTGTTTTTTTTATTTCATATTTATCAGTTTTTTTATTCTGATGTTCATTAAAATGTCTCATAATTTGATTGCCCGCCTAATATCTACGTCATATATTTTAAATAAACAATAAATATGATGGCGACATATTAATTATCCTTGTAATTGTTCATTTATTGCCTAGCGTGTATTTACGTATTCACTTATCATCCCTAGAGAGACAGAAATCAACAAATCAATCGATGACAAATAATAAACAAACAGTGTTGTTTATTTATAATTTTAAAAAAAATTTAAATTGTTTACGTTTTATTTTGAATTTATATTCTCTTACTGACAATACTAATATGTATCATTAAAGTTTACACTAACGCTTCCATTGAGCAAGTTTCACTATTTCTTGTTATTTGGTTTTCATTTTGTTCAATATTCAATAGTTTTAATTTTTTATTCATTCATCGCTACCGAATCAACAATGTTAAAAGAATGAATATTCAAATTATGAAAATAGAATAAATACATAAATATCATGTTCAAACTTCCCAAATTGTTACTAGTTCTAAATAATAATAGTAATAATTATTATTATTATTATGGAATGATTCCACTGAGAAGAAAAAAACTAATGTTTAATTATCATTACTGATATACAGTTATTTAGTTTTGCATGAATATTAGCGAAAATAGTAAATGGGATAATGAAACCGATACAAAATCATTGTCATACAATGTATCAGAAGGGGGCAAATAATTTTTTTTTATTCAATAAAGTTATATTATTTTTGCATGAATATTTATTCTCTGTCAAAAATAGACCGCTAAAAATAAATTGCCGGTGAATAGAAAAGTTAACTATACTCATTTGTTTATCATAGCTAATGGACAAAAATATAGTCTTTATATACATTTTAATAAATTTTACTTGTTTATTTACAAATATTTAGTCATAATTTATTAATTGAGAAATTTATATCTGTCTAACTAACGTGCAGTCTATCCTCTATATTCATCATACTTGATAAATATTTACAAATTATTCTGTCGCCACAAAGTTAATTCGTGACTGTCAGTGGAATGCTGAATAATCATTTTATTTTTTATTGTATAGTTATGGAGATTAGTAGGTTTTATTGAAATTATGAATTGAACATTGTTAGACTACCAGTAGAAAGCTTGAAGTAAACTAGGATGAAACAGTTATTAATTGATTTCTAATGGTGGTCTAATGATGACTGATTTGTAATTTCTATGAAATTCATTTTACTGTATTTGAGACCTATCAACTGGATCTGTCTGAATCGTGCATTATGAAAATTCACTGGACATAGTCTTCTATTCTGACATATGCTTTTCATTACTGTAAGATATGTGAAAAATGTACTGCCTGAACAATTTTCTAATAAGAACACTTGAAGCATGATTTGTAACAAGACATAACTATCCCTTACATTTAAATGTTTATCAAGCTCTGTTCTTAGAATATATATTATTATGATATTAGCAGAAAGTGATTGAATAACTGACTGCATAAAGAAAAATAAAGCTTAAATGTTAACAAATACGTTATATTGTAATTCTAAACGTATTAGTATATTTTTAGCTCTGATAACCAATCTACAAACACATGGCATATTCTAGGCAAACTTCTGTTCAGACAGAATTTTATATGTATAACGTGTTCAAACTGGGTTTAATCATTTTTATGAGGATTTACTAAGGCAATAATTTTTTTCGATTTATGAATGAAAATAATTTAAACTTCAGTGGAGAAAATATTTTCTTTTCGATGAAATCAGTTACTTAAGTTGCACATTCATATTATAATCGTCCGATAAATATTTCATTCTATAGAAAGAGATTGCATAATAGATAATTCAAATATCAAAAGAAAGTTGTATAATGGGCCAATATAAGAGAGATACTTGTCTGTTTTGCAGATATGAAGGTCATAATAACGGTTTGAAAATACAAATAATCAGGAACAAGGAATGATGTGAGGTTGGAAATATCGTTTCTACACGCTGAGCTCGGCCTTGAATTAGTCGATAACCAACGTTTCAGGACTGAATAAGTTTTTCATCTTAACATCACTTGATATATTTATTTCAAATGCAGATAATATTCTAAAGGACAACTCTTTAGGAGCAACATTTGTACAGTTGATCAGACCGACCAATATAGCGTGTCTTATGGAAATGAGAAAAGTTATGAGTCACATCAATAATAATAAGATAATAATGTCAATCAATATGTAGGCCATTTACAACAAAGAGGGTTTACAGACACGTCAGATCAGATCACGTGGTGGGCGCTTAAACCACAATTTGATTGGTTAGTTATGACATGACTACAATTAGTTATATGTATACCAGTCCATGATATGGTGTGAAGATCAGAATTCTTGGGAAACACCCAAACTATCATAGTTAGGGAAGTGTGAATTGTAATTTTTAAATATAATGGTCATTCTACGTGTTCAATACTCATGATGACCATGCAGTAAAATGTTAAACGGGAATATTTGAAATTTAACATTAGCCATTAACTGACAATTAATATAAGCCCTTAAATTCTAGCAATATACATGTAATCTCATTAGAATACTGAGAAACTGGTATGTTGTCCATGTAGGATTCAATTTGTCCTACAGATGAAATTCTAGAGCTGTAAACGCAATATTGGCAAGCACAGAGTCTATGGCAAAGCTGTAGTTAGACAAGTCAATTGTACTACAGATGGCCGAGTCAGAACAATGCGATTGAAGATAGGTATCGTGGAGATCAACCGAGATATACGAAACATATGCCTACTGGAAGAGGTTGATTATTCGAGCGCGACTGCAATGGAGCCTAGACGTGGTGACCGCTTCGGAGGGAGTGTTAGTTATTTCCATAAATAATTGTAGTTATGTCATAACTAACCAATCAAATTGTGGTTTAAGCGCCCACCACGTGATCTGATCTGACGTGTCTGTAAACCCTCTTTGTTGTAAATGGCCTACATATTGATTGACATTATTATCTTATTATTATTGATGTGACTCATAACTTTACTCATTTCCATAAGACACGCTATATTGATCGGTACGTTTGTGCTTGTCTTACTTGATAATTGTAATTTCCTTATTAATTGTACTAATCTAATTGTTTTTATGTTTAGAAACAGATAAAGTTTGAAGCAAAAGTTGATCTTGTTATAACTATAGCTTTCCCATAGACTCTGTGCTTGCCAATATTGCGTTTACAGTTCTAGAAGTTCATCTGTAGGACAAATTAAATCCTACAGTCCATTATGGTGTTTAGCTACTAAACAAAAACAAAATGGATCCCTTCATGGAGAACTATGATTGTTGATATTCAGTGTAAACATTAAAATGCCACCTCATGTAAATTATTCTACATATTTATTTATTTTTTCAATTGCAGTTACAAATAAAAATGATGCTAACACATTTTATCACATTTTATCATTCTCTTGCTTAAATCTTACAGATTATCTACAGAATATTAACCATAATCTATTGATCAAGGATGCTAATAGGTAAGTAAGTATTTATTAAAAGAACTTATTTTATCGAAATATGCTTGCTTAGATATTTGTTTCAAAAATACTAAGTGTTAACTGAAAGCAATTATTAAATGTCGTAAATCACAGTAAGTACAAGGAAGGTTGATGTTCTTTTACTGAAGTTGTCTATGGCGACAGTCAGAAATTAAAGTAAAAAACGTAGACAAGTACATTAATCAACGAGGAAGAAAGCAAACAATTTTCTTTATAATGACAATCTGAGTCTTACATACAGAGTTTATATACTGGAATATATATACTGGATTCACAATATTTATAGTTACCCATACAAACAACATGGCTTAAGGTTGCGCATAAAGAGAAAATTAAATAACACTTCAAGAGTAGTCACAAAAAAAACTACTCTCTTCAATCTAGACCTTCGGATATTATCTTAGATCTAACGCGCTGCAGTTTATTACGTCACCATGAAAGGAATGAATGCGAAGCATGAATCCATTATAAATCATGACAATTCGTATCTATTTATTTAAACATATAAGAATCGGTACAAAGCGAAATTTTATATGTATATGCACCACACAAATAATTAAATTTGTGTGTGGACTGGGTGGGATAATGGGCGGGTGCCCAAATCGAAGCAGATAGTCTTATTAGGAGGTGAATCTCCAAGTATTTGATCCATTCATCTAATTTATGATGGAATATATAGATATATATCCTTTGATTTATGCTTAATGGTTTGAAATCATCAGTCAATCATTGTTAGACCACCATTAGAAACCTGGAAGCACTGAAAGACTGCCGTTTCGTTCTGGTATGGGACTCATCAGTGGCAGTGCGCATCCACGACTCCTGCACCTCGAAGGATTTGAACCAGGCACCTTCGGTATTGTGCGCGGACACCTAACCATCAGATTTGATCAACTTGTGAAGCAAACTTGTAAATTCTTTCATTTATTTCCATTGAAAAACAGTTTTCGTTTTTTTCTTTCTTAAAAAATAAATAGATTAACACACTGTAAACAATAAACTACTTCACACATTTTACAATTCTTAATGCATTTTTTTCGAAAAAAATTTCTATCACCGCTGGTAGTAAAAATCATTGTTTCACACTGACTCTGTCCTAAAAGGCTTACTTGAATATAAAGAAAAAAACATTTTTATTTTACACTTGACAAACAAAAATAAAGAGTTCGTACACTGATAAATAAGGATGATTCATATTGGTCATTGATAGGTAAATCACAAATTGTAGTGGTGATACAATTATGTTTAGTCATAAATGATTTGTTTACTTTTGAGCTTTATATATTTACTTTTATTATTGTGTATTCTTATTAATAAAATGACTATTTTTCTCTTTCACTCTCTCTCCTTAGTCACAAATTATTAGACAAAGTGCTTTTACTAGTTCTTTGCGAGGTTAAAAACATCTACTTCATTTTAGTTATGTTATGTTAAATGTCATATATATATATATATACATACATATTTCATTACGGGGTTGTGAAGATTGTTAAGTTACACATTTGAAATCATGAATCGATCAATGTTAGACCAGCATTAGGAACCCGGAAGCACTTGTATGGAACTCATCAGCAGTGCGCATCCACGACTCCTTCACCTTACAAAATTCGAACCCAGGACCTTTGGCCTAACCTCTGGACCACTGTGCCGGCTTCACCCATTTAACTTTGGTAGTTACTGCCTACACCCGACGGGTGTATATATATATATATATATATATATATATATATATATATATATTACTCATATTGATTAAAACAACAACTAAATAACTGTTTAACTACTTACTTCTTGTTAATTCAGTTTATTCATAAACGCACTATCTTCGTAACATGTAACCAATAAATATTTATTAGGTGATACATAAAAAGTTATCCCTAGTTATTTTGCCTTCTTTTAAGTAGTGTGATTACGTGTGTTTAATGATTTTAATCACATATGCAAGATGATTTCATCGAAATGTGGAGAAATAATTTGCCTTATTTCAATTACATGAATATGTACAAATTTTTACGAAAGTTAACTAGTGGACTGAGTCAGCAAGCAATACACCGAGTAAACTAAATTTTTTTGAACTGACCTGTAAATAAATCTCACTCCGACCACTGTAGTGTACGAAAGATATTTATTCATCAATAAAAGTGTAGACATACCATGTATCGATCAGTTTTTAAATTAATTTATGAGTTTAAGAGTAGTGAATGCATTTTCGATAGTATTCTATTATCAATATCTCTGAAAAGTTATTTGTCTATGGTGAATATATATTTTTAAGGTCAAACATAGGGCACTAGTTAATTTATATTAACTGTCTTCATAAAACTGTCAATCTTTGTTAACTGAAATGTCTGACTAAAGTATTCTGTAAGCTGAACCAATGTTTACTTCAGTATACAATGTTTATCAACTAAGTTGTAGATTAGTAGAAGACTATTTACCTTCAAACTAAAACATAGGATTCATGCATAAACTATATTGTCAGTTGTATTACCAAATATAGGTTTCTTCGCTAAAGACTTAATAAATCATATAACTAAGTGGTTAAAGATCTTAGATGGTTTTAAATTGAACGAAGTTTTGTCGGTGTATTTATTCTCAAAACCTCTGTAAATTTTGATATTTATCATTATTGGTTACTTTTCAATACTTCGATCTAATGTTGAATACTAGGTGGCAAGACTTATATATGACTGATTGATTTTCCTGTCGAAATATGAATCTAGTTCATTTGAATTTAAACAGTAAACTATCTATCAACCATACTCGTACATTAATTAAAATTTGCAATACGGCGTTGTTTTGAAGATTGTTAAGTTGCACATTTTTTGAAACCATGAATCGATCAATGTTAGACCATCACCATTAGAAACCTGGAATCACTGGACAGCCGTTTCGTCCTGGTGCGCATCCACGACTCCTGCACCCCGCAGGATTCGAATCCAAGACCTTCGGTATTATAGGCGAACTCCTAACCATCGGACCACTGGGCTGGTATCTAACGGTGTTAATGTCTAACTTGATCAATTCACGGAGTTGCGCAACCTCATACACAGTCTTCGGTAGTTACTGTCTACACCCGAACAGGTTGAACTTCACTGGTCACCTCCTCCCACTAGAACTCGGAGGAGTCCCATACCAGGACGAAACGGCCGTCCAGTGCTTCCAGGTTTCTAATGGTGGTCTAACATTGATTGATTTATGATTTCAAATAAAAATTAATTAAAATGTTTCTAGAAAAGTTATGATAAAGTATAGGTAATTAAACGTTGAGAAAGTCAATTTATTTCACAATCAAATTGTCCAGTACATTCTTGAATAAATTCATTTGTCGTTGAAATTTTCATACTTAAGATATCGCTAAGAAAGTGATTGTGTCTATGAAAAAAAAATGATATGAAAATTTTATTTTATGAAGAAAATATCATGTGAAGTGTTTAAAATATACTTTATGATCTATTAAAATCAACTTATTAACTTTGTGAAAATTAGAACAACAATCGAAACAAGCTTAGTTTGGATTACATACAATTCAGAGCTTCTAACAAGTATATTTACTTAATTAATTAATTACTCACTTACTCACTTACTTACTTACTTACTTACTTACTTACTTACTTACTTACTTACTTACTTACTTACTTACTTACACCTGTTACCCTCAGTGGAGCATAGGCCGCCCAAATAATAGAAAGTAATGTATCATTCACTCTGAGATTTATCAAACTGCTATTAAGGACTTATCGAGAACAAATGACACACAGATTATCTGATAATTTCTAAATAATCTTAATTACTGTCGTTACTGTAAAAAAATCCAGTTGACACAGCAAGTAAAAATGCTATCAGATTACATTGTTTAAGTAACTGACACCTTTGAACAATAATGTCATCTGTTATAAGCAGAGATTATTGGTGGCCAACTCAGTTAACTTATCCTTCGTTCGGGTAGACACCGCTGGTCGACTGGAGAATTTCAATGCAAGTTTGGCAGCGTTGAACGTTCTATTATTAATCTGTCCTGCAGAGCATCGCAGGTCACATCTCCGTTGAATTGTAACTTCATAAATAAAGGCTTCTTTTGGGCGGTCAAAACCACCGACTTCTTTTTTACGGCAAATATATACTTCTTTATGAATGCGCTAGGATAACAAATCTCAGTTAGTGAACCGTTTAATGAATTCCAGCTGCTGGCTTAAAGTATCCACTGAACATATCATATTTGCTCTGTTAGTGAGATATCTAACCAAATTTCTTTTGCAGCGGATCGGTGTAAAACTACAAGAGTGAGTGTATTGGCAAGCACTGGGATTTTTTCTATACACGCTTCTACTTAGTGAACCATCACTTCACCTACTTAGTGTGATGTCAAGGAAAGTCAGTTTTTTATCATATTCCTCTTCACCAGTGAACGTGATTGCCGAGTATACACTGCTGAGTTGTTCTGAGAGTTTTTATTTTCTGATGTCGTGATCTACAATGATGAATGTGTCATCGACGCACCGACAATATAGATCAAGTTTCTGAATAGCTTCAATGAGTGGTCCATTTTCTAGCTTTGCTAAGAAGAGATACGCTAGAATTTGACCTAAAGGTGAACCCATGGCTATACCATCTATTTGTCTATAATAATATAAATATTCATGTATATTAGAGAGTAAAGCAGCCTGATGACGATCTAATCGAAAACAATAATATTGTTCGCTTATGTCTGTGTTGTTCTAACTTATTAACTGTTACTGATTTCATAAAATTATTTTTTTTTCAATAACCCTTATTTTTGATTACTAATCCATTTAGGTTTCTCTGCGTTAATTAAACATTAAAATAATATTTTTTCTAGTGAAAGCTTCAATACTTGAAGTCAATAAATTTAACTCCAATTCCTATTCATCAGTGAAATAAACTAATTTTTTATAACAAAATATGCTAACTCTACTTACTGACCAGATGTTTAAATGTGTCAGTGAACGAATGAACCAAAGGAATAAAATTCATTTTAGTAACAGAAAAAGGATAAATAAATAAATTTGTAAAAAATACAACGCATTAGACAACCACCATCTGTCATTAAAAATCGAAATGGTTGTCTGTGTAAGACAATGTCGATATACTGCTGCAGAAATTAGATTTCGCATACTCATTGCTTATATTCTAATATATAAAAAAGGTTTTCTTTTTCTAAACAGTGATTTTGTCCACATATCAATTTCATTGTATTTCACACCATATGAAATTGTTATTTCTAGTATTATACAGACAAATGAGAAAATGTTAGAATATTTCATTTGATTAATCTATGCTATGTAGAAAATACTGTAGCGTGTATGTCAAAAACACACATGACTTGTCCAAGCCTTTGAACGAGTTTATTTATTTATTCCCTTCTTTCGAGGTTATTATTCACGCATCATTCGACCTTGTCAATTCTTCACTCATAATCTTAATGTCTAGCTTTATTTTTGTCAATGTAGAATTGAAGAGAATGTTGAGTTTCACTTGAGTCATGAATCGATCAGTGTTAACTTATTTTAATCATGCCTCATCACATTGAGTTAGCTGACTGGCCGTCTCGAGTTCTCTTTGCCTTGCTTTCAAGCTTATCTTTATTACCTATCTTTTTCTGCGACTACATGAAATGAACTCATTCAAATGAAACCTTTATTGGGCTTTTAATTATCATTGTTGCACAAACGGAGTTAGCTGAAATCTAATGAACGGGAATTGAACGGAAGCTTTATATCACAACGCATTTAACTGTTCTTAAAATTTGGAGATGATAAATTCCGGGCAACAAACAACGCACTCACATAATTATTTGTAGCAAGATGTTAAAAATGATAAAAAAGTTTTTTAATAGACACTAAATATTCTTGTGATATAAGCTAGTAAGTAGCCTTTGAGTTATCAGCCTATTCAATTTGATTACGATCTCCACTTTGTTATTAATAGCTATTTCAATATTTTCAATGTTGATTGTAAATTATTTACTAAAATTGAGATTAGATTCTGAAATGTAGTATGAAAATTCTACTTCTCACCTACATGAAAATAACTCTGAAAAATCCCAACATTATAAACTTGCTGATTAAAATTTTCATAACTAATTTCTATGGCTTTGTTTACCTGTACTGGTGTAATTTTGTAATTTTTCAGACAAATGAAAATTCAACAGATCGGACAAATTAGACAAAAAAGAAATTCTGAACTGAAGACAAATGGTAAGAGTTCATGAAATCACTGTTATTCTTTTAAAACGTACACTTTCTATCCTTATAACTTTAGATTTTGAAACCTTTGATCTTATTCTTTTTACTGTTGAATTAAATGTAACTTGATGATTTTCTATTAAAATAATTAAGTCAGATTGAAATAGATGATTCTGTTCAACTCAGGTGGATGATTATGGTGGTTTGTGCTGATGATGTTGTTCAGCAGAAGAACAATGAAATCTTCACAACCAAAACACCCAGCTCAGAGAACCAAACACCACCTCCATGATCCTGTTCAACAATGAAAAACCTATTTTACACTAAAAAAATAATTGAATAAAAAATATTCTTTGAAAAAATTTATGAAAATCATGCGTTTAGTTGTAAAATCATTCTAAAAAGAATAAATATTTATTGATTTATTATTTATTATTTATAAATTATAAAAAAAAATAAACGTTATGAGAAATGAAACATATAAATATTCTTAAGTCAAATAAAAATCATCTGTTCTTAGCCTTGCGATGGAGTTTCGTTCTCTGAGTTGCATGTTTTTAGCCTTGTCTAAAAAGAATTTATGATAACTACACCTTCAACACTTTTTTAATTTTCATTTCAAAAGTAACTTCGAAATAATCATCTAATTTGATTATCATTATTATTATTAAATGGACAGATCATGGACAAATCATCTGAGGTTTACCCATCTTTTATTCTTTTGTTTTTCAATTGTCCTTTATTTAGAAAATTGTTTCTTCAGTTAACTAAGTATACTATAGGGTTCATCACTAGGTACGCTTGAAGCTATTACAAGTTCACCTTAGTCGCTAAACGCGAACGAGAGAATTACCAGCGTCCAGATAGGCTACCTTGAGTCCCAAGCTGTAAATAGAAGGCTTGGTAAGCTTAGAAAGTATATTCTACAAACACTCAGCAATCACAACTCTCGTTTATCTATACATCACAGAAGCGTCCTTACAACACACACTAAAATACACAGAAGCCAATCACAGCCATAGATTTTCCTGGTGAAATCTCAAGATCAACTGATCAGCTCATGTTGGCAAACGTGAAATCCAAGATAAGGCATTTATCAAGCGAGTTCTGGGTTTACCTAACATCCCCAACCAATGACAATTTTTTAACTAAGCAAATAAAGAAAAAATAACAAAAATTACTACATTGATCGTAAAAATGAACACATAATAAATCATAAATGAAATAAACATCTTCACATATATCACGATAAACATCTACTTATTGATTTGACTCGGATTTATGTAGAGTAAGTGAGAAGTTCGATAATTTAAAATCAGACAGAATAATATCAAGATGATTACTAGATTGATAGGTTAGATATAATTTAGTGTATAACAAAGTAGTTAAGTAGTTCACCCTACTTTGTGTAATGTCTATAAATAACATAAAAGATAAATGCGTATGCACACACTTGTACACTGTAAACTGATTGATGTCTACGCAACCATTTCATTCAGTAAATATTTATAACATTGTTTAGGTGTCATGGTACTTGAAAGTTTCATAACCTGGATTGTTAGCTGTACGAAGTACAAAAAGAAATTATGGACAGTAAATACGTGTCAACCATAAATCATATATTTCTTCAATAGTCTAGGTCCTTCTTAATATCAAATGGTCATTTTCTTTAAGAGCGAATAAGTTAAGTACATTTTAGTTGAGTAAATATTATGTTGTTTGTAGATTTATATATCTGACTAACTCATAAAATTGAGTACGGTTGTTCTAATTTATTTGTCAATAAACTGTATCATAAACGGCTGCTTCAGATAAGATCATTTAACCGTAAAACCTGTGGTATTATCTTCAAGAATAAGAACTTAATCCAACTAGTTGTCAGCTTTAGCGTCAATTGACTATACAAACTGTCTATCCATTTATGTCATGTTTATTCCAGTTAACGTGATATTATTTTGATATTATTTTCGCGATCGAATATATTTGATGACAGCAGTAATGCTCAGTCTAAGTCATCATTAGAAGGTACTCATTATTATTGTTATTAGTTATTTCTACTTATTAATAATTTGATCACATGTGGAACGAGAGCACTCTGACATTTTTGTATAATAAATAATTTTTCCTTAATTAAAGTTATGGAGATCAGTGTTTTTACAATCTGAAATCACCAATTGATCATTGTTAGACGACTATTAGAATCCTGGAAAAAGAATCCTACAATGTACTTACTAGTGACTAGCTTCGTGAAGAAATTTTCGGAGTTCTAGGGGAAAACGTGACCAGTGGAGTTCAGCCCTGTCTGGTGTTTTGACAGTAACTAACAAAGACAAAAAACTGAGGTCGTGCCGAATCCCTAGATTGATCACAATTAGATACTAACGCCATTGGATGTCAGCCCAGTGGTCCAGAGGTTAGGCGATCATGTGTAAGACTAAAGGTCCTGGGCTCGAATTCTGTGAGTAGTGGGAGTCATTGCTGATGAGTCTCATACCAGGAAGAAATGGACATTCAGTGCTTCCAGGTTCCTAATTGTGGTCTAAAAATAATTGATCGATGATTTCAGTGTGTAAAATAAATACAATGCACAAAAGAAGATAGACCTGGTTGTTCTTTGATGTAGTAGCTAAGAGTCATAAAATATTGTTTAATTTGCAACCATGAATCGATCAATGTTAGACAACCACCATTAGAAACCTGGAAGTACTGAAACACGGCCGTTTCGTCCTGAGATGGGACTCCTCAGCAGTGCACATCCACGACTCCTGCTCCTCGCAGGTTTCGAACACAGGACCTTCGGTATTGTAGGCGAACGCCTAACCATCGGACCACTGAGTCGGTATTTAACGATGTTAATGTCTAACTTGATCAATTCACGGAGTTGCGCAACCTCATACACAGTCTTCGGTAGTTACTGTCTACACACGAAGAGGTTGAACTTCACTGGTCACGTCTTCCCACTAGATCTCGGAGATCCATCACGAATCTAGTCACTAGTGAGCACAGGTAATTTGCATTACGGGGTTGTGAAGATTATTAAGTTTTTTTTGAAACCATGAATGCATAAAATATTGTGTTTTATTTTATGTTTAAATCACCACAAGTTTTATAAAACGAAATTGCAGTGTTAGCACAACTGAAAAGAATAGTAAATTATATTTTCTTATTAATGGTCATAAATCTGAATGCTTTTGTATACTGGTCAACCAGTTTATTAATTGACTAATGGATAATTAATATTTTAAGTCAGATAATACTTTGGTGCTACCGATAAAAACAGGCAGCCTTAAGCTAGCACGAAAACAATAGACTTTCCTTTGAGGACTTCTTTTGTCTGGTAGTGTTTGAAGTTTTTCATTCATAGTATTTTACTGTCATAACACTTCTCACTAAAGTATTTACTGTGCCATTTTGCTAGCTTTGGATAAAATTGCATGTTTATAAATAGAATCGGATCAACGACGAGGTTTAAGCACCATGATAATGGTGACTGACAAATGATTGACTCTTAGAAATATCTTTATTTTACAAGCCTTGCAGTTGGTGTCTTATATGGTGTAAAGGTAACAGTCTTGATCATAATACAATTTTTGAATTCGATAGACATCACAATTCTCATCTTTCAAATGTTATTAAAATCAAAACAGAGCTCTGGTATATCTTGCTGATCAACTTCAATCACCTGACATTAATATCGAGTCGCTTATTTAAGTGTCCACTCAGAAATGTAAATAATGCGACTGAACTATTTTTGAGAGTAATAAAATAAAATTTGATAACTTCATACTTGTTGGCTTCTATAAAGGAAATAAAGAAGTTTAATGAAACTATGCGCTCTACTAACTTAACTCAGATATATATGCATGTAGATTGAAGATTTTTCTTATCACTGGATTATGGCTATTAAAAAAGTTAATGACCTAGTTTATAGATCATCACAACCTCTGTTTTAGCGCCTACAAACTCACAAAACAATTTGTTTAAATTGCATGTTTTGTCTTTACAATCATTAGAAAAAAACAACACTGAATAATAGTTTTATTTAGTATTTTTTTGAAAAAAGAAAAACATCCTTTGTGCATAAACATGCTTACAATGAAAAAACAACAGCTAAATAGTTTACTAACCAAAGATTTTTTTATCCTTCTCATAGAATTTTACATTTAACTTCTAATAGTGTACATTTACTTGTGAATATCTTTCTTTCATAGCTTCGGTCTCAGTGTTTATGGTTATATTATTGATTGATTGTAACAGATAATGAACGAGATTCACAAAAGCGTATTGTAAGCTAGAACGTGACTCTTGTAAACTAATTTTATTATCATCAATGACTTTATTCGAACATCGAATTGTCAGCGAAAAATTCTTCGACAAGTTTCTTTTACAAAAACAACAAAATACAATCAGTAGGCACACACACACACCTACAAATAAAACTATTTAGAGAATTAAATGAAATGTTTTTAAAGAGAAACGAATTTAATTATGTTAAATTGAAAACATGATCAAGAACATTACAGAGCTATATATTACCTTTACTTGCATTCGTGGATTCTATTATATACATATATAATATATATATATATATATATATATATATATATATATATAATATATATATATATAATATATATATATATGTATATATATATGTATTCTATTATATACTGTTCTGCCAGAAGACTTATATGGCTAAATATGTGATAAGAAAACACTTGATCAGAGTTTATAGGTTTTTTATATCTATTTAGCATCATATCTATAGTATTCTAAAAAGATCCATCACACAACCCCTGCTAGATGCCTTTAGCATTCTCTTCAACAAAGCAAAACCTATCCACAAAAGTCACTGAAAGAACAGCGGGAAACAATACAGAATTAAGGCTAATTTGCATGGTTCTATAAATCATCACTGGGAATGTCAAGTAATGCCAAAAACAAATAGCTTCTTTGTATACAAAGTCAAATGACAAACTTTCTGTATCAGTAAAGCATGATAAGATCGAGAGAGATTAGAGAGAAAAAAATACGCCAAGATAAATGACCTTTGACACTGTTAATCATAGAATCTCCAATGGTATAAGCTTCAAAGTATTCTAACAGGATGTTTAAGTCTTGTTCATGTCTCAAGTTACAATTAACAGACTGATATTTAAAAAGGTTATGTGTGAAACCATTAACTACAGAACATGCATACATTGTGTACAAACAATGATCTCCACAATACTATAATGCTAAATCAAAAAACATGCTCAATTGTGACCAGATTCGTGAGGCGATTCTCGGAGTTCTGGTGACAAGACGTGACTAGTGAATTTCAACGCTGTCGGGCGAAGCAGCATCTAATGAAGACAATGGGTGAGCTTGCGCAAGACTGTGGATTGATCAAAGTTAGACATTCACACCGTTGGTTGCCAGCCCAGTGGTCCAGAGGTTAGGCAATCATATGCAAGATCGAAGTTCATGAGTTCGAATCCTGTGAGTAGGGGGAGTCATGAATGCGCACTGCTGATGAATCCCATACCTGGACCAAATGGCCATCCAGTGCTTCTAGGTTTCTAATGGTGGTATAACAATGGTTCATTCATGTTTTACATATGTAAAAACAATGATTTCCATAATACCTTACTGTAAAATGCCAAGTGTTTCTCAATGAGTCATTTGTAAGTAACTTTCCGTTTGTCGTACAAAACGTGTTTTTTAGAAATTGGATACTTTCTTATAAGTGATTCCTGCAATTAATCTTCTATGCTTGATGTACAAGTGTACTCTTTTCAAGTCGCCTATAAATTCTAGGTAGAACATGAATAATACATTTATCAAATCTAAGCAGCGAAGCACGTTCACTAGTCACTTATCTTCCCATATCATTATTTTAAACTAAGACTAAATGCACATCTGAAATGGACTACATTTCGGTGAGCTAGTGATAAAAAACGGCTGCAGTTACTTGAATTAATTTAATCAAAAGTGAACCACTATTGATGTCAACGGTGAATTCCAGGATATAATTGATAAAAACAGATATAGTGAGAATGTGGTTCAGTTCAGAATCATGTAAATGTTGGTAACGTAGATATAATTGTATTTATTTAAGCATTTTTGATGGTTTATTAAGGTTAAACAGTGAATAAAATCATTTGAGAACGTAAAATATACAAAATTAGATTGACACAAGTACACAGTTACAAGTGAAACTCCGATACAATCACACTTTTTCCGATTGTACGATCAATCTCGATGATATATATGCAAACTATGTAGTGATACCAACATGTCATTGTTTCAACTAGGATTTTCGAATTGTTATCACACTAAAATTACGATACATATTTAGACTTAGTAGGTATTGTAGATAGTCCATCATGGTAATTCATGGTTAGCAGTTGGAAGTTAGCAGTTCAGCAATAGACATCTGATGAATATTCATTCTTTTCAGTGAATGTTATCAGTTACTATGATACTTCCGACTACACAGTTTTTTACCATATTATCAGGCTGTTTGCTTACATTGTATAAATCATTAGTTTCCATTGAATATAACACTCTCACTACAAACTAAGATTAGTATGAAAACTAATAAAAACTAAACATTATTAGTTCGCTTGTTTATTTTAAGCTAATTGTGATAGACTGTGTATAGACTGCGTCACACTTTTTTAAAAATATACATTCAGTCAAAATCTAGCTAGCTGTTTTATATTTTTAAATTTATTTGATTCGCCGCCAAACAACATGATCATCGTTTGATGTCACTTTCAGTAACTTTCTCATTTGTTGAATTGGTTCTCATAAATTGCCTAACTAAACAACACATATATATTCATCAGTGTCTATCTTCAATTTTATTGCGTCGTGATGATTATTGAATTAAACTATCATAGAGTAAAGCTATATTAATGAAAATAAAATACACTAATCTTTACAAGTTATCTAATTCGACAATGAACATATCTAAATTCATTACCATTCATAAGAATAATCATTTTACAACTGAAATAATTTATTTCATTTTTTTTGTGTCATTCCTGTGCTTGAAAACTGTGTGTGTGTGATAAAATAAATAAATAAATTTTTAACTAAAAATAAAACAACTTAAACATATAAAAGTTCACTTTATTTGTACTTTATTGTTGGTAATTTAAGATAAATTGAAATGATTATTTAGAATAAAATTTAAAGTCGTGACAAAAAAGGAGTGATAATCAGGATTATTATTATTATTATTATTATTATTATTATTACTGTCAATAATGACGTTTTTCGCAGCAAAAAAATATTATGGTCTTTAAAAACGTGAATTATGCATAAATCAATATTCTTATCGTTGTAAATCATTTTCAAAATTATTGGTTGTTTAAATTTAGAATTATTAATTATTATTATTATTACTGTTACTATAATTATAACTAACGCTGTTATTATCATGATTATCAATATCATTGTTAATCTATAAACAGACCAGAAAAAATATCTTATTCTGATGATTATAATTATTATATTTCAATAAAAACTATTGAATTTAAAACAAATTCAAAATATTGGAATAAATTTCACTAAACTATTTTTGATATTTATCATTGGAAAAAATTTGTTATGAAAAAAATTATTTTTAGCGATTGGATGACAAAATGCTGTCATTCTTATACAACAATGGAATGTATAATAAGTTTACAAAATAGCTTTTCATCGTTAGTTAATCATTACTCATTAAGTTTATGATTTAAAAAAGAAAAAAGTTTGTTCTGGAATGTATTCTGACATTTACTTGTACGATTGTTTGCCAATTTCAATGTCTGATTGCTGAATCTTCATCCTATTTTATTAGGTATAATTTTGGTTGGGTAATTTTCAGTTTATCTACAGTCTTGTAGATTGGAATAAAGTCATGAAAATAGGATGAGCAATGAAGTCCATTTAAAGCATTTCTAACTATTAGTCTGAGCCATATGAGAATGATTTATACCTGCCTTAATGTTACAATATATATATATATATCGTCGCAATTACATTTGTTCTCCACTTTCTTCAAAATCTCCGGCCAGGTATCATTCTTACTCTCCTATTCTTCAATATTGTTCGTTTTTTTTTAAAAAAAATTCATTTCCCATTTTGCATTCCAACATGGTTGACAACTTTTCGACTCCATCATGACTTTTCTCTTGTTCACCTTCCGCCTTCATTGCTTAATGTCGTCTGTTACAGTCGGGACCTGGAATATTACCTTGAATATATATCTCATTTTGATTATGACTAACAACGAATGCCTGGTACCAAAATAAATAATAAAATGTCACTTTTTCCATTGAATGTCATTCATCATTATTTTTTTGTAGTAGTTTTCATAAAGTAATTTACTTGATTCAAAAAATTTGTTGAACTAAAATTTTGAATAATAATAAAATGTAGGCTACACCTGTTCTCTTCGAATTTCCGCGATTTCTGTCAACTCCGCAGAGAATTATGATAATCAATTTTATAATTAAGATTAATTCTTTTTTTGTTGAAATTAAATTCAACCGAAAAAATCTGTGCTGCATTCAACGAAACAAAGACAAACACACTTTATTCCATTCTTTTCTATGTAATTTAACTTTCAAAATAAAAATACTTTTAACTGGTTACTACAAATAGAAAATCAATAAACCAGTTTTGATATCCGTAAGGGAAACCGTCGATTTATATTCTATTGACGTTTCATTGAAAAATTCTTACAAAAATTAAACTGAGTAAGAGTTCCTCACTGGTCAGACATGTAAATATTATTGTGGATTGCTTCTCGAACAGTTAGCGATTGGGAAGTTTCATATGATTCAGTTTACAAAGTTGAATAAATCAATAATGTGTTCCAAATGAAAACTCAGATGAGCAGCAAATCTATTGATCTCATAAAAGGTAAATTAAGAAATTATTGAAAACGGTAATATATGAAGGGGTTGATTCATGTTAGATCAGATTTTATCTATTAAATAATAAGATAACCTTGATTTTATCTTGATATTCAACAATGCAAACGTTAATCTGTTCAATCTTCTTAATGACTGCTCATTTGTTTATCTTTTCAAACAAGCTATGTACTCAACCCTAAGTTCACAACTTTTACCTCCAAGAAACTTGCAAATAACACCAATTAGTTTTGGAACTATAAACATATCATGGATTCCAGCACCGAAAAATGAACAGTTTATCACACATTACGAGTAAGTTAACTTTGTGTACTTATGTATCACCGATATTCGTACTTAATCTGGTCAGATAAGTTGAATGCTTTCAAACAAGATATTTTGAGTTGTATTCACCTTTGGATTATGGGGTTGTGAAGATTGTTAAGTTTATTTGAAACCGTGAATCGATCAAAGTTAGACCACCATTAGAAACCTGGAAGCACTGGAAACTTAACAATCTTCACAGAAACCCCATAATGCAAATAACCTGTGCTCACTAGTGACTAGATTCGTGAAGAATCTTCTCCGAGTTCTAGTGGGAAGACATGACCAGTGAAGTTCAACTTGTTCGTGTGTAGACAGTAACTACCGAAGACTGTGTATGAGGTTGCGCAACTCCGTGAATTGATCAAGTTAGACATTAACACCGTTAGATACCGCCTCAGTGGTCCGATGGTTAGGCATTCGCCTACAATACCTAAGGTCCTGGATTCGAATCCTGTGAGGTGCTGGAGTCAAGGATGCACACTGCTAAGGAGTCCCATACCATTAGGAAACGGCCGTGTTTCAGTGCATCAAGGTTTCCAATGGTGGTCTCACACTGATCGATCGTATTCACCTGTTAATAGTCATTTCAAAACTCTGTTGTATTGTTTGATCGAAATCAGCTTCATCATTTCTAACATTGATGTTTGAATTTGATTTTAGACGTCTAATCTTACTGACTTTTTCTAAAAGAAACTCAACATTGAATTAGGTGGAAGAGCCTAAACTGTGCATGAAAAATTCGAAACCTTAGAGTTCCATGCAAAAACATGGTAGTAGTTATAGAATTCTCTTGAATTCTCAGTGGTTTTCTTGCTAATGTATGAGATAAATTTTTTCCGGGTGTTCAACTAGTTTATAAGGTAGCATACATTAAAAAGCAGGAGAAAACAGTATTTTCAGCATAACTGTATGAAACTGTAACTTTTTGGGCTTCAATATAATGTGAAACCAAGTTTTACACACACACACACACACAACAATTCTCCAACTTTATTTTTGTCTAAATGAAATACTTATGCAGTCAACCAATAAGTTTATTAATTCAGTGACAATGAAAAAGTAATTTGAAACACTAAAATGTCAAACGTTTGGTGTTGTACTGTTATTGCAATCAGTAGCTAAACAAACGAAGCAAAGATATAGATATGTATGAGATAGACAGTGTTTCCTATTCCAGCTAGTTAAAAAGATTCATTTTGTGTCTCTATCGGAAAATGAAGTATCAATTCAATTAATCAATGTATTTCGTTACATTCGTTCTATTATTTGTAAACAACAATAACATCAACATACATGTGTACATTTTGATTAATTAAAAAACCATCTGGTATTATTTTCAACTTAAATGACTAAAGAATAATTTAAGCTTAAATTTCAGTGTTATAAATTGCCACTATTAAATGTTTTGCTATTTTTTATTTTTTTGGATTCTAATTTGATTGTCATTGAATATGGTAAATAAATTATTATTTCAAAAACTTCAGTTAGATATTTAATGAATGATGGACATATTACACTAATGATTCTAAATAGTTCATATGTGATAGAATACGTGTCTGTGAATTTGTAGCGTGTCTTCAGATTAATGTTCACTGATTGTACAAGATCTCATAAGTTTCCCGGCATTTTAGTCAGTGAATGTTGCATATCACAGCATTATTTGCACTGAAGGTTTCATTTAAAGCTTTAGTGTATTCTTTATTTACTTTTCATCAAATGACTAGTTGGGATATGCTACTATTAAAACAACACGTGTAAGCGAACGATATTGTTGTTTTCGATTAGATCGTCATCAGGCTGCTTTACTGTAATAGATACATGAATATTTATGTATGAAAATGTTAAACCAATCAAGGCAATTCATGAGTCGAGAATCACAATGAAGTGAAATAGACTACGTCACTATACATAATAGTCAAAAGTACAAGTGGATATTAGAAAGACAGGTGTATTGATAGTAGTATGAAAAATAAAATACGATAGTGGTCATATTGTAGATAAGTTTAGATCTTTTTGGGTAATCTATCGTATACCTCCATCATTTCCCAACGGAGTTCGATCCCGTCTCCTACACATAGCTAAAGCCATAGGAATACGTACATTCAACCCCAATTTATGTGTTCAGAAGAAATTCGTGACACCCCTATCTCTTCCGTGGCCGGATATGACGTAACTAACGGTTTAAATTTTTTTCTTTTTTGTTTAAAAATTTTATTTTGTTAGTATTAGCATTATTTTCATATCTTGTATTTGTTGGTAATTCTCTGCCTCTTTCCGTTTATATTCTTCACTATTTAATTATTACGTAATGGTTTAAAGTTTTGTAATGATTATTTTAAGTCCATTTATCCATAATTGACCAACTACTGATAAAACTTTTGTTATCGTATTTTATTTTGCGTACTACTATCAGACACCTGTATTCCTACTATCAACCTGTACTTTTGACTATTATGTGTAGTGACGTAATCTATTTCATCTCACTATGAATACTGGCTCAAATTGCCTTGACTGGCTTAACATTTTCATATAGATATTTATGTATATTAGAGTAAAGCCTGATGACGATCTAATCAAAAACAACAATATTGTTCGCTTATATGTATTGTTCTAATTTTCACGATGAGAATCTTTAATGTACTACTATGTCGTATTGCATAGAGATATGTGCAAAAAGCTTTAGAGGAATGAAGTGATGTCCAAAGTTAGAAATACACTTTTATCCACAACAATCACACATTAAATAAACTATTTGATTTCCTCCACTTTCATTGAACCCTAAGAAATGATGATTCTCCTCACACACTCACTCATACCGTACACAAGCTTCATGAACCCGCTACTCCTTTTATTGATGACAATAAGAAACAAAGTAGTAATATATATAATACATATGTTATCGAAATTTCAATCGTCTTAATAGTCAAGTTAATTCATTAAGTCTTGATCGTAACTTATTTTTGTAACGAAACGGAAACACCATGACCAAATGGAATAGTAGTTTAATTTAAATAAGACACAATTTCCTAGCAAAGATGTGTGCGCTTAATTCTTCTGAATACAAACTGATTATTGACTGTCTCTTTCTGATTTTTAAACACACATTTTTTCACTCATTACATATCAATATCATATTATTTTCTCCGTTAGTCGCTTCTAGGCGACACTCCATTACATACTACTTAAAAAAACTTTGTTACAAGTAGTATCCAACACACTTGTAATAAATAGTATTTATGCTTTTCATCCTCTATCATCGATCATTATTGTTCTTGACAAATTATACATTTATTGCTTTTTTGTTAATAATGTAACTTTTCTAATTTGTTGACGACATTTGTAGCACTGTAGCATTTTTCTACAAACAGATTTTTAATTTTTGCTTATTAAAATTCTTTTAATATTTAAAGCTTTATTTAAAAAAATAAAATGCTCAAAAACAAAATACTATTATTATTATTATTATATTTTAATAGTTGGTTAATGTTGGTTGTGGTTTAGTAGGCTGTTTACAAAACAGAACGAATTATTGGACAAACTTAAAACTGTAAAGAAAATATATATTATAGCAGATTGATGTCATTCCTAGCTTGGATGATAAGCTAACCAACACATAGTTATTCAGTGTAATGTAATCAAATAATCGAAAATTTTTTGATTTAGTGATTTCTTAGAGTGAAATTAACTTTTTATAATTATGATATTTTTTTATTGGTTTTTTTATTTCAAGGCTGATATTATTTAGCCTTAATGAAAAGTCAGATAGTCTCTTTGCTCATTGTTTAAGAACACAGACAACATATGAAAATCACACTGGAACTGATCATCCTCATCATCCTCATGTATACCTAGCTCCAATGTATTCACACAATCGTCAAATTCTAATTAATGTTACAACACCTGCAGATTATGCAATAATTACTGGATTACCACCGGATAATTTTTATCGTGTACTTTTATTTGCTGTTGGAAATTCCTTACGGAGTCCACCGGCTACAATGCCATCATCTCCACGTGTACCAGCGCTTTCACCACAAACCGCACCGGAAGATGTAAGTAAAATTGTATTGTATATTTAGTATAATTTAGAGTATGATTTTCCTAAAAAGCAGTGACTTATTAATTTGGGCATTCAGCTTTTAACCATTATTTGTTAGGTTTTGAGGTTGTCTCAACCGAGTCAAGGCAACTACATATTATTATTAGCTTTCATACTTATTATGTAGGTCTTATTCGAATACAGACAGACAACGCAGAACTTCGTACGTAAGTACATCAGTTCAGGTTGTCATGCACCATCAGCACACAGACGCAACTGTCAGTTCAAATCCAATAGTGATAGCAATAATAGAAGTATTAGCAGTAATGGAGTAGATTAGGGAGCCAAGATATGATTCGAGAAGTATAATTCAGTGAAATAACTTTCGAAAGAGAAACAGAGATGATGAGGAATTGAGGAGGTTGGAATTTCATAGAACACAAACAGTGGATGCACCTGCGTCGTTGCAAACGGTTCTGAGCCATGTCTTTCAGGGTCTCTAACCATCGGTGACTTTCGTCTCGCGGACCCCGACCAGATAGCCTGCATCTACCAACATGACTCAGTCCACTTGTCAATGACATCATGGATTTGTACCATGTTTTGGTTTGGCCGCCCCTAGCTTTCTTCCAATCTACTCTTACACTACAAAATATAGCTCGTCGAGGCAGTCGGTGGTTAGGCATTCGTAACACATGTCTTAACCACCTCAACTGATGAAGTTTCACTACTTCATCTGTTGATTTGCCGTCCCTACCTAGAACTCGTTTCCTAACGACAGCATTGCTTATACGGTTGTCCCATGATACACGAGCAATGCTTCGGAGACATCGATGATCGAAGACTATCCGAATACCTTGTGAAGGTGTCCATTTAATTTAACTTTAATGAACTTAAAGAAAATGTCTTCTATTATTATGAAACGTGTTTCGTTTTGTATTTTTTTTTCTCAAATTTATTTTCTCATTGTGTAGGTTAAAATTACTTCACGTGGAGCTCAAAATGCAAAAATATCATGGAATCCACCAAGTGATATAGAATGTGCTGGAGAATTGATGAATTATGTTATCAATATTAATTCTTCTCGTTTAATAGAGCCTATAATTATTAAAGTTTCACGTTCAAAAAGAAACTATATTGTTGAGAGTAAGTTTTCCCTAAGTATTGTGAATTTTTCATCTTTATATTCGATCTTTAACTTTCTTGGAGTATTTTTCATTTGTGAATAAGTTTTGTAAAAAATTAAATAAACAGAAACACTTGGTAGTGATTTTAACGATCCGATGTGTTAAACATATGATAGTTACTCCAAGAAGTTGAATAATGTTCTCTAGATTATCAATGTTATCTTTTTTCTAGTTTTCATTTCATGTATCAAAAAAGAATCGGTTCTGACACTTGTAACGTATGTAGTCACTGAATTTTGTGACAGTCGCTATGAATAGATTTCCAAGACGGAAGATGAAAGGGAAAATTATACGAGTAACTATGCTCTACTTAAATGACTAAAAAGTTATCCTTCTTACTCATAATTTAGTTAGATAAAGTAACTAAAGGATTTTTGTTTTAGTGTTTATCAGTTATTCAAAATTAAATAATATATATTCTATCTAAAGTAGAATTAATTTCCGGATCATAAATACATTACATTAATTAATGCAATCATGAAGTATTTACAAATAAAGTCAATTTATTATGATGAAGAGAGTTTTTAATGGGTTTAAATAATATGTGAATAATTCATGAAAATAATTGCTATAAAGTTGCTAAATTTACATTTTAAGTCAATGAATGTAACATTTTGGTTATGTAGTGAAATATGAACTTCTATGTAACACGTAATCTGATATGCTTTTTTCTTCAGAAATACACTTTGATACATGGTTAAGGGTATCTTTTTATGATTCATTGTATCAAAATTTAAAGATTTTAATGACTATTTTAAAAACCATTTCTTTTATATTTCACAATTAAATATGAATCAAATTATTCATTTGAAAACAAATGTCTAATATGCTTTTACTTAAAATTGATTACATATATTTGAGCGGTTTATAATTTTCAGATCTTATGCCAGGAACATTTTACAGTGTACAAGTATCTGCAACTACACGAGGTGGCCTAGGTGTTCCATCTAAGGCTGTACACTTTCAAACAAGTGGAGAACTGCCAAAGTTAGATCCAGATGAATTAGACGGTATAGAAAATCCTAAATCGAATAGTGATAGTCAGAGTATTGATTTTTTTGAAGATGAAACAAAACAAGATGACTTGGTCGACTCAATTCAACAGGCTGGCAATTCACCGTTTTATATGTTACCGTCAAGGGTAAGGAGATGATAGTTTTTGTTGAAAAAAAATAAAAGAATTGTTTAAACCCCGATTAAATTTCGTTAAGTATTTTTATCCAATTAATATTTTGTTTTAATTAATTATGACTACTTACTTACTTACTTACATACTTTCACCTGTTACGCACAATGGAGCACAGGGTGCCGACCAGTTTTCTCCAACCAACTCTGTCCTCGGCTTCCCTTCCTAATTCTGTCCAATTTTCGTTCATTCTTCTGTATTGCTCGGCGTTATGTGTTCCTTAGCCTTCCACCTTTCCTTTGACCTTGGGGGTTCCATGTGAGGGCTTGTCTTGTGACGCAGTTAAATGCTTTCCGCAGTGTGTGTCCTGTCCACTCCCACCACTTCTTTCTGATTTCAAACCCCGCTGGAATCTAGTTTATTCTCTACCACAGTACGTTGTTGGTGATGGTGTCTGGCCAACGAATACGAAGTATTTTGCGTAGACAGCTGTTAATCAACACTTGTATCTTCTGGATGATGGCTTTGGTAGTTCTCCAAGTTTCCGCTCCATACAGTAGAACTGTCTTGACATTTGTATTGAAAATCCTGATTTTGGTGTTGGTTGAAAGTTGTTTGGAGTTCCAGATATTTTTCAGTTGTAGAAGTGCAGCCCTTGCTTTGCCTATCCGCGCCCTTGCATCTGCATCGGATCCACGCTGATTGTCGATGATGCTGCCAAGATATGTACAGGTGTTAACGTGCTCCAATGCATCTCCATCAAGAGTGATTTGGTTGGTGCATGTTGTGTTGCATCTGAGAATTTCGCTTTCTCGTTTATGTATGTTGAGACCTACTGCTGCAGAGGATGTTGCCGCTACACTGATCGTCTTCTCTTGCATTTGTTGTTGCGTGTGAGATATAAGAGTCAGGTCATCTGCGAAGTCCAGATCGTCAAGCTGCATCCCAACTGTCTAGTTGATACCGTGCTTTCCTCCAGATGTTGACGTCTTCATAATCCAGTCGATGACCAGCAGAAAGAGAAAGGTTGAGAGTAAGCAACCTTGCCTGACATTGGTCTTCACCTCGAACGAGTCTCTCAGCTGTTCTCCGTGCACGATTTTGCAGTTGAATCCATCATAAGAATTCCTTACGATGTTAACTGTTTTCTCAGGCTCACCGAAGTGTCGAAGGAGCCTCCACAGTGTTTTCCTATCCACGCTATCGAATGCTTTCTCGTAGTAGATGAAGATGATGTAGAGTGGTACTTGTTCCTCATTCCAAATCAGATTGGAAAGAAGGATACCTGATCAAAGTACCAAAGAAAGACGATCTCAGCAACTAGATCTCATTTACTTCTAAATGTACCCTATGATAGAGTAATTGTACAATAGTTTTCAGACGCACTAGACACTAACTAATCTTTTAAAAACTGAATGTTTCAGTGTGTCCAAGATTTCGATAGTGAAGATTTTATTTATTCTGTTTTACTAGTAAATACTAGTGAATAATATATCTTTCTTATAGTACATTACTCGCTGAACGATAAAACACGATCATATTGTATATCGTTAACCAGTTAAGAGGCGTTTTTATAAGCCAAAAAAGTTATCTAGCAGTTTTATAATAATCAATAGAAACTAGTAGTTAAAAAAGAAGTAACCAATTGTAACTCATTTGTCATGAATTCAGTATTTTGGTACAACAAGTTTGCCATTACAAATTACTATCAGCTGATAAATCATCTTCAAATTAATCTTACTACTCAATATAAACATGGAATACGTTTGTAAATGTTCAAGTAAATCAAACCAATAAATGGAAGCAGTGTAGGTAACATAAAGACGTGTACACATATAAAAATAAATAATCATATCTCAAACAGTCTATAAAATATCAATCAATGATAATCGTTACTTGAGTATAGAAATTTGTTAGATAAATGAATAAAAAAATTTTTAAGATGTATCAGAAAGTATCTAAAGAAATAGAATCGATTTAAAAAGTGGATGTTATACACAATGAAGACCTAACAGATCCTATTCGGCAGCTAACTTTCGTAAATCAATGAGCGTCATTTCTAGGTGCTTAGATTACGTTATCGTAAGTAAAACTGAATACATTAATAGTATTCTTTATTTTATTGGGAAATGTATAAACATAAAATTATATGCTATTGATTAAAAGAAAATGAAAGTTTAAATTTAGCTAGTTCTTGTTATTTTTATAGCAACTTCTTTAATATAACTAATTCATAGCGCTATACAGTAGATAACAATGTTGACTACTTTGTTTAAAGTCTATTTTTGATGACCAAATCAATATATTACAAACAGTGTAGAGGTAGTACACACCTGTTTTTTTTCCCCTCTGTTTAAGTAGTTTGCAATTTTTACTATTACTGTTTATTAATTCAGTTATTGGAATAGTTTTCTTTGAATATATATATATATATATATATATATAGAAGTAATTTTACTAATGAATTTCATGTTTATACCTATGTATCAAAATAGATTCATAATCTACGTGCAACAGCAACGCAAACAACAATAAAATTAAAATGGTCCATAGCTTTGAGACAAATTAATATGGATAGTGAAACACATTTATTTGATGATGTTGACTATGAGTATACATCATTAATTAATCCAAGACATTTAATTCCTGTTCCAATGAAAAGTGAGAAACATGACAAAGATATAACTGGTTTACTACCACCAGGAACAAAATACATCATACGTTGGGGTGATATGCATCCAGGTCCATCAGAGGTCAGTGTAAGAGGTGATCAAACACAGTATACAATTGAAAATTTAAGTAAGTTTATCATCATTAATATTATTATTATTATTATGATATATGACACTTAAATTTCAACATTTTACTCTTTAAATGATCCTGATAATTTTTTTATTTTTAGTTGAGATCAATGAGTATTCGGTTAAAAGTGGTTAGATTATTTGCATTAGTACAGACTGATACATCTTTCCCTTCTTCATATTCATTTCTTCAGACAACTGATAATGTTTTAGAGGAAACGAAATAGTAAATAAAAATTAACAGATTGATCATTTTCAACAGGTTAGTAAGTTGTCATAACATCATAATATTCATAGTTTAAAATTAGATGGTCCTGAGTGAAAGTCAACTGGAAATCCTGAACCTATGTTTCATGCTGTTCACGCTTCTAAACAAGGCATTTTTTTAATGTTAAGCAAACGGATACTTCCTAAATGATTTGATCCTATACCATACAGCTTCACGATCACGGACGTTACCACAGAGGTGTTCAGGTTGTGACTGATGTAATATAGGATTGAGATGCATTTTTAAGGTTCAAGTTCTCTGAATCAAATTACACTGTAGAAACTCGTCCAGGTTACTTGACATTGTGTGCACAATGTTAGTTTATGAAATATGTGCTCGCATGGCTTCAAAATCATTTGAAGTTGAATACTCGGAAAAATGTAGGGACTTGATAGCTAAAAGTTTAATAACAAGAAAATCTATAACCGAAAACACACTATAGCATAAAGAAAGATAAACGTAACTTTTTCAACATTATTGAAGAACTGTGAAACAAAATTTTCTTACAAGAAACAATTTGACGCAACTTTTATTATCTGCCCTATAAATTTTCAAGTTATATTACAACCTATGATGGTGTGGCAATCTCTTAGTCTTATCATACTAAATTTATTTTATTTTAAATCAGTACTTTCTATTTATTTAAACTTTTATTTAATTAAGCTTTATTGGTTTTCTCATTAGAGTAAATATGTAATAAGGCAGTTCATTTATTTAAATAATCAAGGAATATATGAGGTTTCAGAAAAATTTCCTAGCTAACCTAGAACAAATTGTAAATACTTCTTGCTTGTTCATTATTTTTTTCAAGGAAATTTACTTTAATTTCAAAAACGAAACCTGTTGAAATTTTCTTTTTTTTGGAAACAATTTAAACTTATTTAAATTGAAAAAAAAAACTAATCTTCTTTGTTTATCTAGGAATCGTTAAAACTACTAATATTCACAATGATTATTATATATATTTTACACATCAGATAATTTTTAGTGCACACGTAAACGCTAACTAAATAAAACAAAATCAGAGATAACATTAAAAAAGATTTTCTGTTTATTTATTACACTCTAAAATATATATATTCAATGTTAAAGAATTTATCATAAAAATTTAATATTTTTATTTATGTATTTATTTAAGAAAAGCTGTGTTTATTTTAAAATATTTAAGTCGAGAATTATTACTACTTATATTTGATATTATTTCCATTTTATTTCTAAATCGGAAGACAAGCAAGAAAAGCGATGTTATTAGCCAATGATAATTTCATTATAACTAATACCAATATTCAATAAATTCATGTCAAGATTATATTTAATATACAAATAAAATAAAAAGTATCATTATGTTTATCATAGCGAAAAGTATCTACAGTGTGTGTGTCTAATATAATATTGTTTACACCTCATATATCTAATCTCGTATATATATCTCGTATATCTATTTCTAACTGTAATTCGCATGCGAATAACATTCATTGAAAAAAGATGTCTCTATATATATATATATATATATATATATATATAGCCGTAACAAAGAAACAGGGAATGGTGAAAAGTTTAATGTCATTACAATTATATAATGATTATTCTTTGAAATTGTAGTCAAGGAGAACATAGGTGAGGGCAGCCGAATTGTATTTATCTGAAATTACAGAGTTAATTGGTAAAATAGGAAAACCATATCGTAAATCGTTAATTTGCAAAATATCAATTCATCATATCGAACTGGACTGTTGTTCCTGTTGCAAACATCAATCCATTGTCTGACATTTCACTGTTCATGCGTTTCATACAAATCCCATTGTGTTCCCGTTCTTCCTTTCTTGATCTTCCTCCATCTTCTGCTGCCATACATTACGGTTTCACTGGCGTCATATACTACTTATAAGTAGCGCGCACCACAAAACCATTCCAAATCTGTTCATATTTCTCTCTTATATTTTTTTTTCTACAGGACCTGGTACAATTTATTACATTCGAGTGATATCTGTTACAAATGGTGGAGATGGTCCTGCTGCATATACTGTTGTAATGACACAAGATTCTTCAACTGGTAAATTTGAATGATATTTAATTTGATATATGGTGTAAAATAACCTTTGAAATAGTGAAACTTCATCAGTTGAGGTGGTTGGGACATGTGTTACGTATGCCTAACCACCGACTGCCTCGACGAGCTATGTTTTGCAGTGTAGGAGTAGACTGGAAAAAATCTAAGGGCGGCATAACAAAAACATGGCATAAATCCATGAAGTCACTGACAAGTGGACTGAGTCATGTCGGTAGATGTAGGCTACCTGATTGGGGTCCGCGAGACGAAAGTCACCGATGGTTAGAGACCTTGAACGACATGGCTCAGAATCGTTTGCAATGGCGGTAGCAGGTGCATCCACTCTTTGTGTTCTCTCTAATTCTGACCTTCTGAATTCCTCATCATCTCTATCTTTCTACTTCTAAATTTATTTCACTGAATTATACTTCTCGAATCAATTGTAGTTGTTCAATACAAAATTTCTGATTCGAAATTTCTGATAGCAGGTGTTTAAATACAAATCGGTCATCTGTAAAACTGGCATGTAAATAGGATGGTATGCTAGTATCGGCAGAGAATCAGTAAGAAATTTAGGTTTCTTATAGAATGTACTACTTATTGATAGTATGCGCTTATTTATCATTCCTTAGCTGTGCTCATTCACGGCCTGACACGTGGTGATCGAACCCAAGATCTTGATTACTCGCGCGAACCTCTAGACCAATGAGATGATGCTCAGTGATATTAATAATGTCATAGTTCAAAAGACGATTTCGCATTGCACAATCATCTTTAATTGTCTTCGATAGGTAACACAAGATAAGGTTACGCTTTCTCACTAGAACACTAAACTATACAACCCCATACTACTAATGTCAGACATCATAACACTGATTCAAGGCAGTAAAAATTCAGCAGAGCTAGACGACTTTATACGAAACGAAGTGACCAGACATTATTTTTTTTTAATAATGTAATAATAATTAGACAAGTGTCGTTTAAACTTTTTATTAGCTGATGGGATGCAGCACAATGTAGTAGGGATGAAGATCGATGCTAAAACTCAGTTCCAACGAAAAGATATTTCAATGTAGACAGAAACCAGTAATAACTTATCACATAGGCAATAATTAAACTATTTAACTTGTTCTGACCACAGAATGAAACTGAAATGTCATTGTAATCATTATTGTAATTACTCATCTCGTAGAAAATATTTGAATAAACAGAATAAATGAGATTAATTATATGTCTATTTATTGTATAACAAATCATTCGGAACATCACTATATCGAAAAATATTATCCTCACTCTGTTGACATGGTATTATTACCTATATAAATAAATAACAGAACTCCACTGCATGTAAACAGAAGAGTTCATCTTTCTGAAGATTCATTGCTGTAATAAACTGTACACTGTGATCAGTAGGGGTTTATGATATTTTCATGTGATTTTGATAATGAAGTTTAATCTCTTCAGACTACCAACACATTGTATTAATGTAGTTATGCTAGAAATAGCCGAACTTCGTTCCATATAGTAGTACAAAATATACATTCAAATGTTTTCACTCATTAGATTACTTTCTAAAAATTCCTAATTTCTTTCTTTCAAGCTACAAAACCAACAACTCAGGGCTTATTAATTCCCGTAAATTTAGTCGTTCGACAACTCGGCTCTACATGGGCACGTGTTGGATGGGATTTACCAAATGTTCCACAATCTATGAAAATGTCTATCAGTGGATTCCAAGTGAAATATTACTCAGTAAAATCTAATACAAACCAAGAAGAAGATGATGCAGAAGGACAAGAAAGCAAAATGGAAAACACAAATTATATCAATGAACAATTTAGAGCTAAAACTAATGAAGAGAAGAAGAAGACGAAACATGAATTAAAATTAATCAACATGACCTTGACATCGAACCAAATTCATGAAGAACACTTTGATATTATACTTCGTGATTTGAAACCTGCTACACAGTATGAATTTGGTGTTCGATTGTTGCATAACGATGAAATAATATCTGAAGAAAATGATTCAAACAATAATGACAGGGTAGTGAAAACATATTTTTGGAGTATGGTTCAAGGATTCGAGACTTTTGGTAAAAGTAAGACATATTGATGTGATGTGTGATATAAACAACTTACTTTAAAATGCGTTATTCGTTTTAGTATTCTGGGTCAAAATACTCAGATATACAGAATGAGAAAGAAAAGCAAAGTAATAATTTTTTGTCAGATTTAATGAAGATTCAGATATTGTGAGTTCCAGAGTGGACTAATACTTAATTGTAGGTCGTTCACCTTTAGAAGAAGAATACCATGTTAATTACTTAATATCACCTGCAAACTGACCTCTTGTTAGATAGTCCAAACTTAATTATTACAAAGTTCTAAGACAACACTCAGGTTTATGTTGCTGAATAAATCATACTGTGGTGCGCGCTACTTATAAGTAGTATATGACGCGAGTAAAATCGTAATGTCTGGCAGCAGAAGATGGGGGAAGATCAAGAAAGAAAGAACAGGAACACAATGGGATTTGTATGAAACGCATGAACAGTGAAATGTCAGACAATGGATTGATGTTTGCAACAGGAACAATAGTCCAGTTTGATATGATGGATTGATATTTTGCAAAATAACGATTTATGATATGGTTTTCCTATTTTACCAATTAACTCTGTAATTTGATTGCTTCGTTTGGTATTTTTATCATACAGCCACAAGTTCGAATTAGTTTTTGAATAATCTCTTCGTATCCAATCACTAATTCTAATCATCTCTGTTGATTTAATCTGGTTTTGAACTTATCACACGTCTTTAGTTAAAATTTTGCTGATCGATCAAACCTATAAAGTTGAAATAATATAGTCAACATGTTATCTTGTTAGTCTTTCGATATTCACTTACATACTTTTGTTCATGTTATATTTTGAATAAATAACATATATGTAAATTCAGTGAATTTTAAGTCATTTTACTTTCATAACTAAGAGGTAAATCATTTAAATACACTACAGTGTAAATATTAAAGATTCCCATTGTGAAAATTAGAACAACACAGATATAAGTGAACAATATTGCTGTTTTCGATTAGATCGTCATCAGACTGCTTTATTCTAATATGTACATGAATATTTATATGAAAATGTTAAACCAATCAAGGCAATTATTGAGTCAATAATCACAATGAAATGAAAATAGATCAGGTCACTACACATAATAAGCGAAAGTACAAGCTGATAGTAGGAAGACAGAAGTGTACTGATAGTAGTAAGAAAATTATAAAATATGATAATTAAAGTTTTGTCAATAGTAGGTCAAACGTGGATAAACAAACTTAAAATAATCATCACCATTAATGTTTAGAACCATTACGTAATAAGAAGTGTGTACATAATTCAATAGTGAGAAGAGGCAGAAAATCACAAACAAATACCAGGATGTGAAAACAATCCTAGTAATATTCATGTATATTAGAGTAAGGCCTGAAAGCCATCAACTACAGTATAAATAGTCCATTATAAAAGGTAATTTTTTTTATAAAACAGAGTAACGACTTTAAACTACAGCATATTATTATCAACAAGATGGCTTAGAATGTAATGCCAAAAATCCCTGATATCATTATTAACATACTGGTAATCACTTATCTTTTGCTCAAACTATTAAGGATGTTTGTTTCACTTAACTGCAATGTAATTTTTTCACGTGCTTCACAGTAAGTAAGTGTCCTAATCACTCAATGAGTATATATAATGGTTACCAACACTATTGACGTTTGTTTGTCAGCGATCATTCGAATTGTTACATTCATAATCAACTAAAATTTGGACTCTGTTTGAATTTCTGTAACAATAAGCAGTCAACATTATAATCAGAAAGTATCCTATTTCCCCCCCCCCCATGCACAATAAATATTTTGTATAACAAGTATAGTTTAATTATCTGGTGTTTCAATGTTTACTCATCGTATTCATTTTTATCAATTATGTCGTATATTTGGTCTATAATTGTTTTTTTTACTCCCTGAACTCTATGCATTAATTAGAAAATCTTTTCATAATAAACTAAATGAAAATTTAATTTAAGTTATCATAATTCTTTCCACTGATAATATAGACTAGTCAAATTTAAAAAATAAAAAAAATTTCTAAATGACATAATTGAAGAAAAGTGTATTTACTTTCCCCATTGTGCTTGAAGTCATTTAGAGTCTATATTACTTAAATTCACGAGGCTTTTTATGTTTTCGTAGAATTGATCAATTCTATTGGAAATTATCGAAATCTTATAGGCGCGAAATGGTTAATTTAAAATGAAAGTTTTCTTCAATACTGTCTTAGATTTTAAAGCATTTTCATTATTCTGCAAATCTATTTTCAATTATATGGAAAGGTATAGATATGTTGTAGATTTTCGTCTTGCGGTGTATATTACTCACAACGTGACTCATAAGTATTATGAAGCAAAGTGTCTTTCAGATGTTATTGCTGAACAGAAGAGTGTAGGATTCAGATCAAAGTATTTTGAAGGCTTGAAGATGTATGAAAGAAGGCGGCCAATAATCTATTTACTTTGTGAATGGAAATCTAAAAATATAAGGTGTACACGTCTTACTAGTAAACTGTCCTTTTATTAGATAAATCACTTATTCATAAAATAAATAGGTTAAATGTACTTAGATAGTCAATCTACGTTGATAATACATACTAGAACATAGCAACATCGTTTTTTAAATGTATATTAGACATTAACACCGTTAGATACCAGCTCAGTGGTCTGACGGTTAGGGCGTTCGCGTACAATACCGAAGATCCTGGGTTCGAATCCTGCGGGGTGCAGGAGTTGTGGATGCGCACTGCTGAGGAGTCCCATACCAGGACGAACCGGCCGTCCAGTGCTTCCATGTTTCTAATGGTGGTCTAACATTGATCGATTCATGGTTTCAAAAAAATGTGTAAATGTATATTTAGCTTGTCAATCGTATGCAATCTTGTCTGTGTAGTTTAGGTACTATTGAAATACCGTTAGAACGCCAATATATTACTTAGGTTTATTGACTGTTAACAGTCAATTACTAATCTTTAAGTAACTCATGTACAGACAGAATTCAGCGAAATTCACTATCAGAATATTATGAGTTATCCCTATCTTTAACTACAGGTTTAGGAATATTGACATATTTCAATAGTTCAGTTAAAGTAGTGTCATTCAAAGGTCACTAACATATATCAATGTTTTTCTCTGATGTCCTAAAATTATGCAAATAGTAATTATTCAGATAGAAATAGAACTCTTCTTATTTAGTTTAGCTTAATCTGGCATACATGACCGATAATGACCCTTCAGTCTTTTTGTAGAATAATTATATTTTTCGGCGGTAAGATGTGGAAAACATCAAAACTATTAACTAGTTAGTTATGCATGCATTTATTTTTATATAAATATATTTAAAGCTTAAAGACTAATTAAACTAATTACATAGTTTTATTATTATTATTATTATTAATATTATTCATTGGAATGGCATATCATATCATGAAACATTTTTCATGATAATCTATGGTCCATTTCCCTAAAAAAATATTCATTCGGAAATGACTAATTGTTGTCATTATTCATCACCCAATAAATTATGCAATCTGAAATTAGTTGTCAGAGTGATATAATCACTCAATGATTATTCAATGATATATGATATGATATGCATTACGGGGTTGTTGCGTAGATTGTTAAGTGACACATTTTCGAAACCATGAATCGATGATCAATGTTAGACCACCACCATTAGAAACCTGGAAGCACTGAAACACGGCCGTTTCGTCCTGAGATGGGACTCCTCAGCAGTGGCAGTGCGCATCCACGACTCCTGCACCTCGCAGGATTCGAACCCGGGACCTTCGGTATTGTAGGCGAACCCCTAACCATCGGGCCACTAAGCCGGTATCTCACGATGTTAATGTCTAACTTGATCAATTCACGGAGTTGCACAACCTCATACACAGTCTTCGGTAGTTAATGTCTACACCCGAACAGGTTGAACGTCACTGGTCACGTCTTCCCACTAGAAATATCCGAATATTATGAGTCTGGGGAATCATTCGCTAAATACAATAAACAGTTCTTTGTAATCATTTATATCAAATTCATTTTTCTATAGCTTCACGAATCAATCATGAAAGTTTGTTTTTTGTTTCAAATTGTTCAATGATTTAATGAAAATGGGTTAGCGAGTTTGAATTCAATAAATAACTTAAGAAGAGAAAACAGTCAAGATAAATACTTTCTTTAGATAGTTTGTACGGATGATCTTGTGTAGAACGATGTTAGATACTTGATGAGTAAATCATTCAACACAGAGGATGTGATTTCGTCAAAAACAAATGATTTTTTTAAAATTCAACTTTAATGATGAACTAGGAACTTTCAGGATTGTTGCAATTCAATTGATTTGCTATACTATACTGTTGGGAATGTTAAATCTCCAGAACTCGCTTGATAAATGTCTTTATTTTGGATTTGATTGATGGGCTGATCAGTTGACCTTGAGATCACTTTTCCCACCAGGAAAATCCTTGGCTGTGATTGACTGCTGTGTATTTTAGTGTGCCCCAAGTACGTTTTTACGATGTATAAATAAACAAGATTTGTGTGCTTGGATTTATTGTGCGCTGACTGAGTGTTTGTACAATACACTTTCTACGCTATATCAAGCGACTTCTCGTTAGTACCTTTGGGTCAATGGATAAGAGTAGCCTACCTTGGTGGCTGGTTCATTGTTTTGTTCTTGTTATTCGACTAACGTGAACCCGTACTAGTTTTAAGCATAACAATTTGACGACGGCGATTCGGCAAACGAATCAGGGACTAATTATGGATCCAACTAAATTTTCATTTTATGATTCCTATGAAACCCGATAAATGGTACAATATAATTGAAATGGTAAAAAAGAAATTATATTTTCAGCTGATTAATTAAAATTAAACATTTTTTGACTAACATTTCACTCATTAAATAATTTCATTATTATTTTCAATTGATTTTCAAGGTCCAAAAGATGCTCCAACAAATATTCAACTGTCTAAATTAAGATTAACCAATGAATTACATACACGGCTTCAATTGTTAGATTTTTCAACTACACACAAATTGGATGATTCAAATATTGACGATGATCACGACGAAGATGATGACAATAATAGGCCTAGTTCACATTTTCTAGTGACGATGTTTATTAAATGGGATCCACCTACTTATCCAAATGGCAGAATACTTGCATCAATTTTATATCTTACCACTAATAAGAAACAATCTATACGAAAATGGACAGAGAGATCAGTGAATGGTGGTAGTACAGAGGCTGGTCTATTAAGATTACAACCAAGTACATTATATTTTGTGAAAATTATTGCAAGAAATCAACATGGTCGATCACCATCATCAAATATCATTGCTTTTTATACACCAGATGGTAAACAGTTTTGATTTTTTTTTTATGCAGAATGTAATTCAATTAAAAGCATGATTATTTTGTTAATTTTGAAATGTGTGAATATATATTCATTGTTTGTGCGTACAAAACACTAAAGAAATTGATGAAAAAAGCTTAAGATTTGTATAGTGATCAGAAGAAAATAATTAGATTTAATTTTAACTACATAGGATTCAATAATAACTGTAAGTAGTAAAATGAATAAAATTAAGTAATCCTACAGCGTCAAAATTAGCTCCCTACACCTATTCCATTACATTTCTTCATTACTTACTAACCTACATCTGCTTCCCCTAAAGAATTATAGGTCGACTACCAGCATTCTTCAACCTATTGTGTTCTGAGCCTTCCTAACCAATTGCTATTCATTTTTGTTCATGTTTGCTTCGAATTCTCAGCGCAGTGTGTTCCTATTTTTTTGAGCTTAGAAGACGAAATTCTATCATATTCATTCATCTGAGTAACAAATTATCTGCACCATTTCAACATCATGATATTTTGATTATAAGATGTATATAAATAAAAGATTATGAATTTGTAGTAGCCACTAGCAGTTGTACTCTATAAACGTGTTATTATTAATAGAAACATACCAATAGATTAAATAAATGATATATTATCAACAAACAGAGTTTTTATAATAAAAATAGAATGTGTTAAAATACTTTATTTTATTTTATTAGACATACCATTTCACACTTGACTGTACTAGATAACTAGTTTGTGCATAAATGAATACAACGTCCCTATAATTGGAAAAAAATGTATTTACAGTATAAAAAGGCAATTTGTTACGTATTTTCATTTTTTTGCTTTAACAGAAAAAAAACTGATTGTGTACTTACACAAATTATCTCAAGTATAAACAGTTTTTCTTATCAAACTAAATAATCTCTTCTCGACATGAAATTAAAGCATATATAGATATATTTATATATGTGTACTTTTCAACATGTACACGTACACAGAATTGAAAAATGTACAAAATGCAGTCATTTTAAACTTACTTACTTACTTACTTACTTTCGCCTGTTACACCCAATGGAGCATAGGCCGCCAACCAGTTTTCTCCAACCAACTCTGTCCTGGGCTTCGGCGGCACAAGGTGACAACCAATCGAAAGAAGGGTTGTTCGTATAGAGAAGAGACTTATTGGAAGGTGTAGAAAATATTTGATCTTGAATTAATTTGGTCCCGTGCCCTTTTATGGGTATGAAGGCGGATGTTACCTCTCGGCTACCCACACCGTGGAAGGACTCAGTCAGTCAGTCAGTTATAACGTAGAATTTCGTACGTATGTACATCAGTCCGAGTTGCAAAACCACATTAATACAGAGCCACGCCACTCAGGGCCGCTAACCATCAGTTATCATCATCTCGCGGACCCTAACCAGGCAGTCGATAGTCTACATCTACCAACATAACTCAATCCATTTGTCAGTGATTCCATGGATTTGTGCCATGTTTTGGTCTGGCCTCCCCTAACTTTCTTCCAACCTACTCCTGCATCGCAAAACATAGCTCGTCAACGTAGTCGGTGGTTAGGCATGCATAACACATGTCCCAACCACCTTAACTGATGAAGTTTCATTACTTCATCTATTGACCTGCCATTCTTACCTAGCACCCGTTTCCTAACAACAGAATTGCTTACTCGGCTGTCCCACGATACTCGAGCAATGCTTCGAAGACACCTATAATCAAGAACCAGAAACCTACGAATGTCTTATAAAATAGCTTATAAAATAATAAATCATATTCACAGATCTACTTCGGTAACTCACATCAATATAATATTATAACCGTAAACTTGTTAAATTTTCAAACAACCCCACTATCAATGATGAACGGAAGATGACTCATCTCCATTAATGTTATGATAACTAAAAGAACGTATATTAAGAAATATTATGTCTGTAATTATAGGAAATATTTTGACATCTAAATATTTTAGAAGAAAAAGTATAAATTTTTAATATTACTTAAAGATTTTAGATGATAGAATTGTCTAACAAAGCCTGTCATAGTAATCGGTAATTGTAATTTTGATTACAATTAGTTATTATTAGTTGTTTTACATTGTTTATTTTTGTTAGACTCTTAACCACTTTCACTAAAATTATCTTGAAGTGCATTCATTATTTTTCTTAAAAAAAATAAATACATAATAGTACACTAATAATTTACTTCATTTGGGTGTGACAACATAGTCAATGTTCATAGTTGCGCTGTCAATGTTCAATATATATACTATTTTGAAAGAAATTAACATATCACCAATTTTTAAAAGTGTGAATATAAAATTAATTGCTTCATTTTGGATTTTTTTTTGGCTTTATTGGTTAAAGTGATAAAAATGTTTAGAAAATAAAAAGTATTACAATTCAGTCAGTCAGTCAGATCAGATGCAACGTAGAAGTTTGTACGTAAGTACATCAGTTCATGTTGCCATACCACCACATTAGCACAGAGATATAATTGTCAATTCAAATCCAATAGTAGAAGAGGTAGTACGCGTATTAGAAGAAATCGGAGAGGATAGGATAAGAAGATATTATTCAAGAAGTTTGATTCAATGAGAAAAGTTTAGCAAGTCAAAACTAGAGGTGTTGGAGAATCCAGAAGATTAGGATTTGAGAGAAGACAAAGAATAAATGCACCGGCGCCATTGCAAAAGATTTTGAGCCATGTCATTCAAGGTCTCTAACCATTGATTGATTTTCACATATTTTGATAATCAAGTAGATTTGATGGAAACATTTCTTGACTAAACTTTGATTGAGTTGACAATCTCAGGGTGCAAAACGTATTGTTACTGGAATCAGATTTAATCGATTAAAACGAAAAAAGTTTATGAATTTGATGAGTTGTCTCATCCGTTTGTAAAGTAGTCAGATATATTGGTAAAATTATTCATACTTTTTAGATTAATTTGTAAAACATATTCTTGAGCAGAGCAGTTGAATTCTAATATACACTTATATTGAAATTATTAAGTTTTTATATTCAAGTCAACTTTGGACAAATGTCAGAAATCACATTGATTTAAGTGGAGTTAGACAATTTTTAGTTATTTTTAGTTAGTGTTACTGGAGATTAGTGTTTTTATATATTTGAAATCATCAATCAATCAATCATTGTTAGATCACCATTAGAAACCTGGAAGCGCTGAAAGACGGCCGTTCCGTCCTGGTATGGGACTCATCAGTGGCAGTGCGCATCCACAACTCTTAACCATCGGACCACTGGGCCAGCATTCACCTGTGTTAATGTCTAACTCTGTTTGATCTAGGGATTTTGCGTGACCCCACCTATTTGTCCTCGGTAGTTACTGCCTTCACCTAACAGGGTTGAACTCCACTGATCACCTCTTCTCACTATAACTCCAAGAAATTCCTCACGAAGTTAGTCATTAGTGAGCACATTTTACGATATATTCAATTAGAGTTATGGAGATTAGTGGTTGAACACATTCGAACGCAGGATCAAATGTCCTTAGTTCGAATCATGCGAGTAGCAGGAATCGTGAATGCGCACTGCCGACGAGTCCAACACCACGACGAGACGGCCCCTGCCAGTGATTCCGTGTTTCTAATGGTGGTCTAACAATGATTGATTGATGATTTTGAATGTGTAAAAAAAACTTTTAGTTAGATGATATACCATTTATATTATTATTCATCTAGTATGATCGATATAATGTTACCTTGTTGAAATAATTGAAGATTTCAAGTTATGTTTCACTTCAGTAAATGATTAACAACATACTTATCACAATAGACAGGAGGAATGGAAATGTCTCAAAGTAAAATCAAGTAACAACTGTTCAATCGTTCATCATTATCCATTTGGTGCAAAGATGTTGATTTGCCTTGAAAAATCACTCGCTAGTATTAGTCAGTATTTCGATAGAGTTTATGAAATGTTAACTTATAAAATGATAAGTACTTTCTTCATACCGATACGTTCAAACGATTTAATTTTTTTTTCAAAAAGAAACTCAAGAGATGTGTATTAGTGCTTTGTCTATCTGCCGAAACAATTTCCGAATTCGAACACTTGAAACAATATACCATGACAAAACTATCACCCTATCACATTTAAACAGTTATGTTCTACATCATGTTGACTATGTATGTAAACTAGCATGAATTCTGTAATTATAAATCTTTAGAATATATCGGTATTATTATTATTATTATCAATCAATATAATGATTCCGAAAATTAAACTTATGAATAGTATGACATTAAATAACTGAATTTTTACTTCTTTCAGAAATTAGATTATAAGACTCACTAATCATAATCAGCATATAGATATCATCGCATTGAAATTATTAGTCAATCATTGTTAGACCAGCATTAGAAACCTGGAAGCACTGGATAGCCGTTTCGTCCTGGTATGGGACACTTAACATCTGCACCCCTGAGCCGTCATCCACTCGTGTTAATGTCGTCTAACTGTAATCAATCTAGAGATTAGAGGTTAGGCATTCTCGCCCCAAACCATAGGACCAGGGTTCGAATCCTGTGAGGTGAAGAAGTCATGGATGTGCAAATACTAATAAGTCCCATATCAGGATGAAACGGCCGTCTTTCAGTGCTTCCAGGTTACTAATGGTGATTATCTAACAATGACTGATTGATTGATGATTTCAAATGTGAAAACATTCACTGACTGATCTCCATAACTCTAATTGGAAAAAATTATATATACTACGTAAAATTTCTTCAAATTGAATATTTTTAAGTAATAATTTATTTTTCAATTAAAATCACGAATTTGCATAGAAACAATAATTATTTAGAGAGAAATTCTTAATTGGTTCAATATTAAATATTCAATTACAATATTATAAATGATAATAATTATAAATATCATCGAATAGACTTTATTTTTTTCAAAAACTAAACTACTTTTTTTTGTCTGTTATGTATATATATATATATGAATGATTTTCATAAATAAATGTATTT